TATATTAATTTAAAATAAGTTCATTTCACTGGAAAAAAAAGAATAATCACAAATTTTCCAATCAATAATGTTTTAAACTACTAAAATGATATATTATTACATTATCATTTAATTATGGAATAATAATTTTGTTAATTTTTTTGTAATTATTTATATTTATAGTATATATTTCAATTTTAGGAATAATTTTGTATCAAAAATGTGTTTTTGTCCTCTCATCTTGGAAAATATAGGTTTTTGCCACTTTTTGCCAATTTGCTTGGCAAAAACCTGTTTTTGCCAGGACGGTTTTTACCGGTATTTACCATGGTTTTTTCCACCTGTGGCAAAATCTTGCCAACCCTGGTAACAGATATTTTGTGTTTGATATTTTCTTTCCATTATGTACTTTCATAATTTTCCATTCTTTATATGAAAACCTCTGTGTGCTTTTCTTGGTTAATACTAAAAGATAGATAAGATGGTTAAAAAAACGATAAGTATACAATGTGTTATTATATTGTATTTTCCTTCCTAAATTGCTAAATGTATTCATTTGAGAAAATTATTTATTGCGTCGTTTTTAAGTTGAGCTTGAACTTGAGTGAACTACTGTAAATTTTCTGGGACTTAATCTTTCAAGGTATTTTAATAAGAAAATGCTTTATTATTACCTCTTGCCCTTGGGTAAAATTTTACCTGACTTTGTGTGACAATCTTTAACCTCTGATATTTTTGTGCAAGATATTTTTAATAGTAATAAATATTTTTAGTCAATTTATAACAACAGAACACTGTGTTGTTCTGCAACAATGTGACTCTGTTGATACAATTCTGACCTTTAGTTTGATTGTTTTAATCTATCATCACTAAGAGATCTTACTGTAAGTGCTCAGTGCTGCATATATAGTACAGAACCTCTTATCCGGAAATCAGAAAACCGGAACGAAATTAAATACATTTTCCCGCAATTTTTTAAGAAAAAATTTCCCAAAAAGATTTTAGAATTCTTTTTTTTTTTAANTTTTTTTTAATTTTTTTTTTTTTTTTTTTTTTTTTTAAAGATGTTTACCATCATTTTAGAAATAATCGTTAGTTCCTACACTGTCAAAAGAAGTAAGTTTTTTTTAAATTATTCTAAATATATTGATATTTTTTTAGTTGAGTTTGACAATAAAAAAAACTGGTTTTTGTAGCGATTCAGAAAACTGGAAAAATCAGTTTATCCATAATGACGATGGTCCCGATCATTTCGGATAATCGGTTCTCTACTGTAGTGGGACATTTTATTTTGAAATACTAGTAATAATATCATGTATTTTCTTTAATTTTTCTCTCTTTCAAATTAATTAAAATTTATTTTGATAGACCTTGACAATAATGATAAAAATGAGTAAAGATTTTTAAAAGAATTGTTAATATCACCCATTTTTACATGCATGAAAAAGAAAATCTTTGAGATTAAATTTCTATTGACTCTTTTTCATGTTTTATTATTGATATTTTTGTTTTTGTATGTTGTCTGCATTGCAAAATATATAACAAAATTGAAATAAGAGCGCATAAAGTTTAACTTCCCAGGGGTCTGTCAAGGTTTTTCTGAGAAGTACCTATTTTGTGAAAATTTAGATATAATTTGTGAAAAATTTAAAATTTATATTAAAAAATCAGCACAAAAATATGGATTTATCGTTTCTTAAGGGATACAAAAATAAAGTTTTGAGAGAAAGTATTTTGTGAAATTTCCTTAAGTCGAATTTGTGAAGGTACCGCCAAAAAAATTGAATCCTACCTGGACAGACCCCTGCTTATGTAATTATTACCTGAACTACTAATCTTGGTGTGGTGCTTGATTAACTATTAGTTATGTCACCTCTCTTAACTTATGAACTAATCATTGTGTTATTTTTGCAGCATAGAAAAAGTGCCGAAAGTGACCTCACCTGTTCTGGTTATCCATGGTACAAATGATGAAGTGATAGATTTTTCACATGGTCAAGCCATTTATGAGCGTTGCCCCAGAGCTGTTGAACCATTGTGGGTAGAAGGAGCAGGCCATAACGATATCGAGCTCTATGGACAATATGTTGAGAGACTTCGTAAATTTATAAATGAAGAACTCTCCACTTAGTATTTTCTACATATTTATTAGCTGTCAGAAACAGCATATCACCATTAAGTATGTACTAAGTGCAAAGGCATCAATGAATATGAATGATTTCCATTAGTGCTAAAAATGACTTCATATTTATACTTTTTTCAATTATTTATTATATAAATTACATATTTTTTACTTAAAAGATTATTTTAGAGTTATTGGAATATTTAGAGAATAGATTTCTTTCAGTTTTGTGTAGTGTTTTGCGATTTCGTTTGTAATTCAAATTTTGATTAAAAGGTGTTTCTCGAATGCGATCCTAATAGACTTTTCTCCACAAATATTTTAAAATATATTACTTATTCAGTCTTGTGTTCAGATATTTAGTGTTCCTATTTTTTAAGTTGTTCCTATTTTAAGAATTTTGCCTGCTATTTTGCATGATTTGACATTGATTGGTTTTTAATAAGCATATAGTAAATTAGAGTAATCAGAAACTTTTCTAGAATTTAAAAAAAAAAAAATATATAATATTGTGCTACTTAAATAGATTTAAATTTTATTGAAATAAAACTTTTCTTTAATAATAATTTGTGTTTATAACTTTGCATTGATTTTAATGAAGTTTTAGTAGAGCTGTCTAACTTAAATGACAATCTGCTGAAATAAAATTTTTTTTATTTCAAAGTGCTAGGAAATAAAAATGGTTCACATTTTGTTTTTGAAATTAGTTCACATTTTGTTTCACATTTATTTTTTACTAAAGTTGAGCTATATTTCTTTAAATACAAATATCATTGTTTAAAATGCGTTGACTATGTTGTGATATTAAAATATAAATAAAATAACTAGTAAAAAAGTTAATGAATTAATAGTTTTTTTTTATTAGGTCAAATTACTAAATTTATTAAATATGCATCCAAAGAATTTTTCTTATTTTGTGTTTATTTACTTGCTATTCAAAGTAATCATCATGATTACTGTAAATATCAAATTTGTCATTTGACCAAATAGCGTTTATTTATTGACTGTTGATAACTAAAGACAGTAGGTTTTAATTATTAACAATTCATACTAATTTTCTAACCATAAACATAAATTAAAGGGGAAAAAACATAAATTTAAAAAAAAATTCAAATAAAAAGATTTTTTTAAATGTAACCTTAAAAATTTAATTTTTTTTTTTTTGGAAGGTAAAATACTGTATATTTGAATACAACATGAAAGTATAGTTTTTACTTTTAATGTATTTTAACACTAAATACTTTTTATAGTTGTAATTAATCTTATAACTAAATCTAGCCTTAAATAACTTTGATAACGATAATATAAATTGCCATTATTTTTAATGGGTGATGAATCTCCCCCTTATTTCTTTGAAGAAAATTATAGCATTACGAAAATATGAATGATAAATACTTAAGTTTTATTGAATTATTTTATAAATTTCGGATTTTTGTGTAAGATAATAATTTATATCTAAGTTATTTCTTTGATACGTAAATGATTAATTATCATTTCTACTTAAATGCTGACGTATGAGTTTAATGTACCAAACGTTTTGATTTGACTAAAAATATTTTTCATATCTATCTATCTATATATTCACTTAAATTATTTATAAAATAATGATTTTCTATTCTACTTTTTATGTGTGAAACTTTGTTAGACTGTGTTTTATTAAAATTAATTTATTATATTCTTTGAACAGTTATAAAATTTTAAATATTTTGTTCTTTTAACTTCCATTGTCACAAAATACTTTTTTTATTTATCTATAAATTTTTCTAAATAATTATAAAAAGATTACCAACTAAATTCAGCAATTATTAGTCTGTTCCTTTAAATCTGTGTTGGTGGAAATATGATGACTTGATGCATTAGTTGATTTATTCATCTAGTTGATATATTTGCCTTAAACATGTAAATATTGTCCTGCTGTCACAAGAAGTGTTCACATGATTTTGGTTACTAAAGTTAGAGAGGTTAATAATTTCAAATAGGATTGTGTGATCAACCATTTTGCTTTGGCATAAGTCAGTAGGGATAAAGAAAATTACCATCTAAATTGTTCTTAATTAGTTTTAAAAGCTGTACAAAAATCAAATTAAACAAATACTACATTTTGGTTGTGTATGTTTATCAACAGAAAATTGAATCGGTGTCTTTTTTTATATATATACACTTATTAGAAATTGGGTTTCATTTTTTTCTCCTCTTCATAAAAGCAAATACCTTGCAATTTTTATCTGAAATTCTTATTATGGCAGGACAGTACCTATGTGGTCAAAATTCATTGTTGGCTTTTCATGCTGATAGTGCAAAAATCTATTTTAACAATATATTCATTAAAACAATATATTCATTTCATTAATCATCAAATTTGAATGAGCTCATATCATTCTTCATATAATTTTTGTCTTGATTAGCTTTTTACAATTTTTTTACGTTCAAATATCTGTACCTTTTCTTATTAATAAAGTTTTCAAAACATGCTAATTTTCTGCTACCCTTTTTCATTTTTACAGATATTGTTCTGATTGTAGATATTTCTGTTGAAATTACTAGGTCACAAATTCAATAAAAAGATGTAACTGATTCTATTTAAATTACCCTTCATGTTGATTTGTTACAGATTTAAATTTATTTTTGTTTAAATTGAAATTAAGTTTTAAGTTCAAAATATTATTCATACAATAGCGAGTAAAGTTTGCATTTCTGGAATGGTTTGCATAGGTTTTAATAAATAAAAAATTTTCAATGCCTAGGTATTCTTAAAAAAAACCTTCTGGGTTGTTAGGATGTAAAGGTTCAACTATTGAACCTTTACATCCTAATGTGAAGTGTGAAGTGTAGTGTAATTTCTTGTGAATTGTAATTTCAGTTTTAAAAGATAACATACTAGTTGAAATTCAAAATTAAAAGAAACATTTATCTGTATGATTTGCTTTTTTCTAAATTAGTAAATATGAATGACTTTGTATGAAAATTGAGAACAATTAAAAAATTGAAATTTTGTAGATTTACTGTTTTACTTTCAAGAATGTGTTAAACTAAGCTGTTATATAAATAAAATTAATAAGTTCGAAATAGAGAAAAATAGTTTTTTTTTTATATATACACATTGGTGTAATTTTTAAAAATAATTATATTTTATTGTGTGAAATTGCTGCTAACTTTAAGTAAAGTAATGTTATAAGTGTTGTGATAAAGAGCTTTTTATTTATATTGAACATTTTGTATAATTTTTTCAGTACTTATAATGAAATTTCGTTTACAGCATTTTATAATCTTCCATTGGAATGGTGGTTGATCATCTTCACTCTTTTTATGAGCATTTGTTTTTATTATAAATTATTTTTGTCATTTTAAATTTTATGTAGCTTTATCAGGGGTGCACAACCTTTAAAAAAATTGAAGTAGTTTTTTAACTTTTTTGGTGGAAGTTTTTAGACAATGTATATGAATCACATTTTCAATTTTTTACATAATTCATTGAACTCCATCTCTTTTAAGCATGTTTTGCTTACAGAAAATCTTTTTTTTTAAAATAGTGAGATGTTGAATAGAATTATAATGTTGTAATTTCAGTATTTTTCTTAAGGAGTATTGAAGTTAAATCCAAATACAAGTTTAAAATTTCTTATGCTTGCAAGGTGACAATTATTGAGCTATGTGAAAATAAAAAGTTAAATTTTCTGAAACTACTTCAAGTTCTAACATGTTGTTCACATTTTAAATGCAAGTGCAGATGTACTTAATGACATGTTCAATGTGAGTGCCTTCAGTGGCTATGATATGGCTCATATATATGCTGACTTTTTCAAAAATTGCTGTATTGTCTAGAATTCAATTCAACACCTTTCTTGTTTGTTTTATAACGATAATGGTTACTTCCTAAGCAGCAGGTCTAGGTTGTTTGCATAAACTTTATTTTAATATTGCTTCACAAAAATGTTTCAATTGTTTCAATGGGTGGAAGTCAAAAGAATTAATAAGCTCTAATTATAAATTTTTTTAAAAGGGGAAACAACCCTGCATTTAACTGCCAAGTTATGACTTAATTTCGCTAACCTTTCATCAGTTAAAAATACTTTTTTTTAAAAATATAATTCAATGATTGCCATGCTGTTTGTAGTTTTTGTTAATGAATTTTTGTTCTAAACTTGAGGAGGCATTTAGCGGTAGGTTGTGCGCCCCTACTTTATGTTGCTAATAGAACTACTAGGTAAGCTGTTTTGTTTTGATGATCTTACTTGGGATACTTGTTTGTGAAGTGTTTTCCAATAAATTTCTGTTGTAACTGTTTCACCTTTCAGTATTTGTTTTGTAGTGATACTACCTGACTTTTCTTTTAATTTGTATCTATTCTCAGTGGGATCAAATGCAAAAAGTACTATATATATATATATATTTGTATAGGTTTTGAACATGAGACTTAATATGTTGTGTGATGTTTTATAATATACTTTTGTGTTTATTTGTATTATTGATCTGCATTCTTTTTCATATCATGAATTGTATCCGTTTCTGGTAGAAAAAAAAATATTCATACCGTGTGAAGTGAATAAATATTCGAAATTTGTAAATGTTTATTGTTTTTTTTTCCTATTGAATTTTAATTTATAATTGTCAGGAAATTTCGATTAATATTCTTTAAGGTATTGTATTGGAGTGATGCATTTTTTTCTCTCTCCAAACTTTGGGAAAATTATGAAAATAGTAGTGAATAATTCTAACCAGTATTACAATGATTTTATAGTAAAAATTTCACGATAATGTTGTTGCATTTTCTAACCAAGATGAAATTTTTTTTTTAAATCTTCAAAATGTTTTTACTAAAAAGGAGCTAAATGTTGACTGTTTTTTCCCCCATTGAATTTTAATTTGTAATTGTCAGGAAATTTCGATTAATATTTTTTAAAGTATTTTATTGGAGTGATGCATTTTTCTTTACCAAAGTTTGGGAAAGTTATGAAAATAATAGTGAATAATTCTAACCAGTATTACAATGATTTTATAGTAAAAATTTCACTATAATGTTGTTACATTTTCTAACCAAGATGAAATTTTTTTTTAAATCTTCAAAATGTTTTTACTAAAAAGGAGCTAAATGTTTACTGATTTTTTCCCCATTGAATTTTAATTTATAATTGTCAGGAAATTTCGATTAATATTTTTTCAAGTATTTTATTGGAGTGACGCATTTTTCTTTACCAAAGTTTGGGAAAGTTATGAAAATGATAGTGAATAATTCTAACCAGTATTACAATGATTTTATAGTAAAAATTTCACTATAATGTTNTTATTGATCTGCATTCTTTTTCATATCATGAATTGTATCCGTTTCTGGTAGAAAAAAAAATATTCATACCGTGTGAAGTGAATAAATATTCGAAATTTGTAAATGTTTATTGTTTTTTTTTCCCCATTGAATTTTAATTTATAATTGTCAGGAAATTTCGATTAATATTTTAAGTATTTTATTGGAGTGATGCATTTTTCTTTACCAAAGTTTAGGAAAGTTATGAAAATAATAGTGAATAGTTCTAACCAGTATTACAATGATTTTATAGTAAAAATTTCACTGTAATGTTGTTGCGGAACCTTTAGCTGTAGAAGAAAATCTGCAAGAAACTGTCCTTAGGTGGGCTGATCTTAAAGACATGGTTCCGAGTAGAACACCGAAGTCAAGCAATCTCTGGCTGCGGTCAGTAAGCGGGTGGGTGATCACTTTGATCAGCCTGCGTAGGGACCGAGGGTGCGCGGTATTGGTCCTCGTTAAACCATTCCCGAAGACCTGCACGCGAAGTCGAGCACATTAAGGTAGAACAACCAAAGCAGGGAAGCTATCCCCTCTGCAGAGGATCAAAATTGCGATGGCGTGTTTTCGGATCATCCTCAGGGATGTTTCCCAGACCATGGCCAGACAGTCTTCAATAGCCTTCTGTGCTGCCCCAGTGCGACGTAAATAAAGTACCTACCTATCTACATACGTATTATTCTTTCATCAGTTTCTTTAAATGCGAACAGAAAGGCGTATATTTGTACAATTTTTAGATATAATATTTAACTTGTTAATTGATTAATCAGTAATTTTTGTTTTTCTTATTTCACACGATTTTCAAAAAATAGATGACTGTACAACGTCATTTAAAGAGTTGGTGTTGATATTCGTTCGCGCGGGGAACTTGGTATCCATTTGGTGTGCACTTAGATGCAAACAGGCTTTCTCCATAAGTATGATGGTTTTTCCTTGAATTTCAACAGAATGTAATTTTTTTTTTTTTTTTTGGCGTGCACTTGGGGGTTGTCCCATTGGCCGCAGAAATGCCAGAACTGCTGCTCTCTTCTCGTTACCCAATGGGCACCTGTGGCGAGGCCAGGCGTTGGAGCAGCGTCGCCCACGTCACACAACCACAAACCCGTTTATAGGACGGGTCACAATCACACACAAAGGAGAAAGGACATAGAACACAGAGAGAAAGAAACATCCATGTCCTGAGCAGGATTCGAACCTGCGACCAGCGGCTNCACAAAGGAGAAAGGACATAGAACACAGAGAGAAAGAAACATCCATGCCCTGAGCAGGATTCGAACCCACGACCAGCGGCTCCTCAGTCAGGCACGCTAACCAGGTCGGCTTCAACAGAATATAGATAGATATATTCGATGCTACATAGACGGTAGTCTGAAATATTTTAATCAAATGCAGTTAATTATATAGTTACTAAAACTGATCTTTTTTTGGAAAAACTGTTCACACGTCGAAACACACACAGATTATTTTTTTCAACGTTTCCAAGTTTATTTATTAAACATAAACTTGGCAAAATCGTTATTATATGTAGTAAAATCTATAGAGAAAAAATAAATTAAATTTCTTATAATAGTAACAAAATAAGGATATTAAATTATGAATATTAATTATTAATATTTTTGTTAATCAAATTTTAAATGAAAAGAGACCACCGGAATTTCCTGTTTACTTTTCCCAACATATCTGTTTCCTCTTTTGAGAAAATTGGAACTTCCTTATGTTTAAACACAACTATATTTTGCGAACTTTGAAAGAATATCTAATTTATTTGCAGACGATTTCGGTGGCATTTTTTTGCATTTAAAATGAATTGGTAAGTAATTCTTTTCCCCATGTTAATCTTCATTATTTTTATATTTGTTTTCCTTACGAATACCCAGAATAAAACGCTTGATTTTTTTTTTCAATCTGATAAATTAATTCAAATTTATTATTTTCATTATTAACTTGCTTTCGTATTTGTAATTGTTTTACATTTGTATCACAAGTGCAAAAACTCCGAAATTTCGATCACTTTCTGACTAGGTTGAGCACGCAATTCTTTATTGAGGCTGTGTGCTTCAAGACGATGCTAGTTTTAATCGTTCTCGAATTCATAACAACCAGAACTTATCGCAATTATTTCTTTGTGGAATTTATCCTTGATTAAAATACCGAAAACTTTCTGAATAGTTAGAGCTCTTAAATTTAAACAGATATCTGTACTGGATGACAATACAAGTTTCCATCGTTTCGTGACCAGGATCCAGAGAAACCGTAAATCAAAACACTTTGCAAAACTCATACCAACTTCAATGTGTGAGGATTTCTTAAAGATCTATTGTTGCAAAAGATAATTCATTGGAAAAATTTATTTTATCTGATTTCATCCTTCTTTCTTTCTATCTTTGAAATTTTTTTACTGACGTTACAATTATAAAATTATTATTCATTCACTAAGCGAATTTACTATAGTTAATAATATGTGCATAGATTTTTCAACATTTTAAAAAATTTATTCTGCTAGAATGATTAGCAAGAACGCCATGTATCTTCTGGTCTTACAAGCAGGTTTCAATTATGCAATATAAGAATCAAAATAACATGTTCTTACGAGAACCCATTTACATTTTACAGTGTAAATTGAGTTTTATTATTATTTACTTATTTTTTAGAACAGTCATGTTTTTTTTCAAACTTTGGAGCATGGGAGCGAGATTTATTTGAACTGAAACTTTCAGAATATTAGTCTTACTTTTGTATCAAGTGACACTCAAAAACTACCCTTATGTCCAACCTGAAGTTACCATGAAGCCAATCACGCTGTTCTATCCTGATATAAAAAGAAAAGTTTCATTTCAAAAATCTATATACATACTACGTGTAATGTGGTGATTGGTGCAGTTTTAAATAAGTAATTTTACTACGAAATTTCCGTTGTAGCAAAGATAGTATACGATAATTTTCATGAATTAGAATTAAAAGAACTTTTTTCCACTACTACTTATAAACATTTTGAACAATATATTAAGGGTCAGATTGAGAATAGGTCATGCTCTTGAGTCCCTATCAAGGTCGTACAAAAACTCTGTTTGTTTTTTAAATTTCGTCTTTAGTTCGCTACCACTGATAAATATATGTTGAATAAAACTCTAATGTTGAAGGCTATGTAATGGGTACAAAGTGTGATATTGAGATATTTGGTAGCTGTAAAATTGCACCAATAATCAGCAGTTGTAATATAGATACTGCGGAAATTAGTGTTTTACGGCCATTCGAAGAGAGAGTACCGGAGAAAATAAATTGACAGTGGTTCGTTTTGACTATCATGAGTTTGCTGGGAGTAGAAGCATCATGCCAAGTCATACTGATTACAATCAATCTTTATTCTAATGGGTGGAAAAAGAACTACCAAAAACGTGCTTTGCTTGATTTAATAACGTAAGGCCACCAGAAAGGACAACAAATAGCAAATAAATAAATAATTGGAATTATTTTAGCTTTATATATATGTTCTTCATATATTATGCCCTTCAGTTTTGTGTATGGTTTCGTAGTGTTGATCAGTACTGATTCATTGATAACTATTATTATTTTATCCCCGTGCGAAGAACGGGTATTCAGCTAGTTATAAATAAAGTAATGCATTGTTGAACTGCTATAAACAGCGTATATATTTGCTGTAAAATTTATTTATTTTGAAACACACGCAAATTTTTGTGTCGTGATTTCTTACGAAAATAACATTTTCACTTGAGCACTTAAATTATTTTTTTATTCTCAAATGAAGCTTCCATTTTACATATTATGATCGAAATCAAATTTTCTCTTTGAGGTAATCTACGTATTCCAGTAATTTTCTTTTACCACAATTTTATCTCAAAAAACAAAACCCTTTATATTTATTTTTTATATGTTCGCAGACATAAAAATATCAGGTTTAGAAAACAATGGGCAGTGGTCTTTTTCAAGCGTTTAGAGAACATGGACGTCCAACGTATTATGAAGATAACAGATGGCCTGTTACCGCAGATACTGTTGTATACGGAATATTATATGGTTTTCTTGCTATAGCATTTTCTTTTTATGTAATCATTATCGGAATTCGAGGAGCTCAGGTAAGTTTTCATCACATTTTTTTTATTCTACCCTTTTTCTTCTTTTTTTTTGAGTAATAGTGATCAAAATACAGAAAAACTTTGATTATCCAACGTAAATCTGACAAGCCAGAGGCTGAACTTCATTACTGAGGAAAACAAATCCATCAATTGTCACAATTTTGTGGTTGTAAATGGTAACTAGGTGTTTGTTCTATTTCTATTGCACCTTTCTTATTCCCATGCCAATAAAAACGTATTCCCATTGGTCCGTATGTAACTAACTGATCATTAATGGATTTCCAGAGGACAGGTAAGAGAAGTGACGTCAGCTTAGATACCTCTATATTTTATTTTATAACCGTCGTTGAACAGCCGACCCAATTTTTGGGGTTAACTACAGCTAATGTTCTACTCAGTACCCTTGTAATTTTGAACCCAATATAGAAGACAAGGGCAACTCCTGGATCAAGTATTGGGAGAAATTTGCCTTCGTGGAGGACTTTTTGATAGAGTTAACCCACATTTGCGTTACATGAAAAGGGAAACCTCCCACAGTTAGCCTGATGGCAAGGGGACTTTAACCAGTGATTCGTCTACCACTGAGGATATTTTACGTCAGCACTGTGGTCGGGGCAAGCCTGATGCAGAATTCGTTTCAATCAGCCAAAGCTGGGATTCGAACCCGGTTCACCTTATTGGAAGGCGAATGCTCTATCCTCTGAGCCATCACGGCTCTTGATACCTCTATATAAGTTTTTCATTTAATTTCATCAATAAACTCTGAAAGTCGAGTTGTTTATTTATTTATTATAGTGCTGCATAGCATTTAACTGTAATTTTAATCAAGCCATTTTAGAAATGTGTCATTTCATCAAATAGGTATAAAGGTTAAATTAATTGAAATTTTTAAATTGATCTTTTTATTATTGCCCCAATTAGCAGGGCTCATTTCTTCCTTTTTTTTTTTTTTTTTTTNCAGTAATTTTAGTTACTTTTTTTTTTGAATAAGTCATTTGTACAATTTAGCATTGAATTCTATTATGGTTTCTGAAGTTCATTGCATTTATTCATATTCATCTGGAAGCTGAGAAAAATGTTTTATTCTAACGATTCCATCCGCACTACGATATTTCGATTTTCTTTCAAATATAGTAATATAGCCTGTTTCTTAGTATCGGAAAACACTATGGTTCAACTAAATTACCTTTGAAATAATGAAAAGATGTCTAAACAATTTACATGTTTCATATTTCCTTAACCAAACCAAAGCCACAAACTTTTTTGCTTGCGTGAAACGTTATTAAAATTAAAAAAGCAAAAAATAATACACATGTTAAATTTTAGGAAAATAAATTTATAAAAACTTAGGAACCAATTTTCGTTAACAGAAATATGCAGAAAAAATCGATTCAAATAGACGAGGTCCTGCTGTTGTCTGATTTATACAAAGGAAAAAAAAACACATCTTAAATTCCTAAAATAATCAAATAAATATTAACAATAACTTTTTTACACTAGTGAAGTTATTTTATTGTACCTTAAAAATACAACTGTGTTATCAAACATAGATATAATCTCTACACCGTGGCAGATAAGGTAAATGCTACTACTGATTTAACAAGGACACATTTTGAATGGAAATGATTAGCAAATTTAAAGAAAGGAAATTAAGATGAAGATTCATTTGTGTATATTATTGTGTATATAATTAAGAAAAATACATTGTACATCGAAAGTTATAATTAGTAATAAAAATAGGCTAATACTAAACTGACTGACGATGTAGTAATAGGAAGATGTAGTAATAGAGTCATTCATTATTGTGTTTGATATAATTTTGAATGTTAATTAGGATCAAAAGCATAATTTGAAATTTTCTTAAATCATAGAAATTTTTTCTTAAATAATTTTTTTAAAATGATTAAATTTAACGCTTTTAAATGAATATTTTTTTAATTTTTTAAATAAACAGAGTTATTTTCAAAATACTTTTTGTCATTATGTAATCAGCAATGTCAAACGTTAATCTATATTTTAAGAAGCCTTGTTAAAAATAAAGTGTAAAAAGTATACATTTTACTCACAAATCAATATTTAAGCCAGAAAAGAAAAAGCTATCGAATTCTAACGAATCATTGCTGAGTAATGCGAGACTAAAAGCATCTAAACCTGGTGAAGTAAGCAGAAAGAAATTAAAAGGCGATTCTTAAATATATTATACCATCGAAATTCCAAAAATTTTTTAATTGTTTTTGATGTTACTCATCCAGTCTTTCTTACTTGTGACTCGCCGGTTTTTTTTTAGATATTTTACAGCCTATATATGCATACTTTTCCGTACTTCTCAGATTAAACATCACAGTATTCAAAAAAATAACTTATAGCAATTTTTTTTTTATATTCCATTCGCTTAAAAGTTTTTAAGATATATCGAATTAAGCAAAAAGTCAAATTAAAATAACCGCTCTCCTAATTAAACTACTGAAATCATATTTTTCAAATTGCAACTCTTTGTACCTCTGAAATTGGAAATGGGTACATCATTGCGGCGGCCACTATATAAAGCTTCCTAACTCTCCCCGGACTGAAGTATAAAACTATGGTGATTTAAGCATCCTGACAGAAGCCAACAAACATCTCTCTTATAGTTTGTCTAAGCAAGGAACTCCTCCCGCCGCAAAGTTTGAGACCGTCTGGTGCTATGGAAACAAGAATGGCTCATTTCAGGGAGGGTAGCTTCACTCTAAGGCTAACGCAATAGACCAAAGAAAGAGATTCCCTTTCTCTGGCCGACCCGAGCCGAAACCGCATCGAAACAGTGACTCCGTACCCCTACTTGAAATAGTCATGCCTCGTTACCATAGTCACCGCCACAGATCCAGACGAATGTCTGGGGGAGTTCTTATTTTGGACAAACTATACACATTTCTCCCTCCTCGACACTTTTGAGACTATGCATTTTGTTCAATTTTGAATGAATGGAGGTTTTCAAATTCGACTATTATTTGTTTCGCAGCATTTTTGAGCATTGACGCATTTTTTTTTTTTTTTTTTTTTTTTTTTTTTTTTTTTNTTTTGAAGGAAAGCTCCTTTTTTCAGTGTAATTGCATTGGAAATAATTAAATAAATTCAAGAAAATTACCAAAATCAATCTAATAAACTAAGAAAAAAAATTGCATTAAGGAAAAAAAATTGCACTTTTGAATTGTTTATCGTCTGCAGTTATGTACTTTAAAGTATTTCGATCGAAAACAAATTCTGAGATAAAATATATTTTGCTCAGAATCATAGCATTGACGAAAACATCAAAGATACTCATTAAAAGTTCATCACCTCAATAAGTTGGTAACCAAAGGTCATTAATATAATGAAGCATGAAATATTTTTTTTTTTTAAAGTGCTGCATCGGCAGCCGGTAGACTGAGTTTTAAAGCTCTAAATTCTCGTTTAAAAATGTATTTTAATTTTTATATTATACCTAGTTAAGTTTACCGCCTTAGTAAAGTTGATAAAATAGGTTGATGAGCATAATCAAACACCAAATTGCGAATAACTGTTTCCTCAGCCCCCGGTAAATTGAACTCCAAAATACTCACGTTTTCCCCTGGGTTTTATCAGCTCATTTTAAAATGACCTTTTCATACTAAAATTATTTTCACATTAGTTTGAAAAAATTTTCTGCACAAATGTGTATTGTATAAAAAACTAGTGAATGCGTTTTAAACCTTGATATTATTATCTTGGCTATAGTATATGTGCCACTATGAATACTTTTATCATTATACTATTATTTTAAACGAATATTTGTGTTTTATTTCTTAAATTGCAACATCATTTGATTGAAGATTTAAAACTAATGAAACTAAAAAATCTTCGCTTTTTGCAGAGGATATACGTTTTCACAAGAGTAACCATTAGTCTGTTCATTGGAGCTGTCATATTAAGTAAGCAAAATTATAACTTGATTTTATATATTTTGCTGTAACTTTTCCTTTGCTATTGTAAAGTTTTATATCATTTACTCTTAACGGTGTAGAACAGGGTTTCTTAACCTGTGGTTCATGAACCCCTAAGGGATACATGAGTTATATTTTGGGGGTCCGCTGACTACTCCTAATTTTTAAAACGCTTGGAAGCCTACCCATTACTTGTAAAGCGAGTTATGGCAACTATAATTCCGTTTGTTACAATGTATCTTTGCGAAGCGGGATTTTCCGCAATTGTGACAATAAAAAACATAACATCGAAATCGATTGAATGTTGAACATGATATGCCCGTTTGCTTTGTTGAAAACCATCCTCCAATTCAATTTGTTAAGTAAAGAAAAGCAGCAGCAACCTTCACGTTAAAAATTTTAATTTTAAAAATTTTGTATACTATTAAAATAATAAAATTAAATGTTTTCTAATAATTGACGTTTTTTGCAATTATTTTTTTCACAGGGGAGGGGGGGGGTCCGTGACTTCTTAAAAATTTTTAAAAGGGGTCCATTACATCACAAAGGTTAAGGAACACTGGTGTAGAAAGACTACTTTTTTCTTTAATTAGCAGTTTGGGCGGAGTTTGATACTTGACATTTTCGATTTTGTTGAAAATTTAAGAATATGCTCCTTATCCAAAACTATTAGAAAAGTGTTTTTTTTTANTTAAGGAACACTGGTGTAGAAAGACTACTTTTTTCTTTAATTAGCAGTTTGGGCGGAGTTTGATACTTGACATTTTCGATTTTGTTGAAATTTTAAGAATATGCTCCTTATCCAAAACTATTAGAAAAGTGTTTTTTTTTTAAATTTTCTTTCAAAGTTTTTTTTTTTTTTGGGGGGGGGGCAATGTTGAAGAAGAATGTTGTTGTAAGGAACATATCCTAGAAATTTCGACAAAATCAAAACTATCAAGTATCCAACCCTGTCTGACTCTTAAAATAACTAGCTCTAAATTATTATTGTTTGCATACATTATTATTATTGTTTGCATTAAACAATAAGTTAAATAAACGAACTATGTTTTATAAGGTTATCATCTTGTTGATTACTAAATAGGAGTTTTTGTGTAGTGTATTGTGTTGTAGCCATGAGTCACAAAGCATATTCTAGGTGCTCCATAACGACCGCTTTAAATCTATACTTTTAGAATCCTTCTGAGGAAAAAAATATATACAGTGGAACCTGTAAAAGTGACCACCTGGGTAAAGTGAACGCCTGAGTAAGGTGACCATTTTCTATTAGTTTTATTTCAAGAGTCCTTTTTAAAGAGTCTTCGTAAAGTGACCACCTCTATATAGTGACCATTTGACTTGGTCCCGAGGGTGGTCAATTTAGACAGGTTCCACTGTACTTATTTGAAGTCGAAAATTAACAGTGAAATAGGGACGAAAGAAATACGTTACATAAGTCTTAGGAATCACTATTGCAGAAGATAGGATTAAAAAAACACCGACCTTGTTTGATTTTCTGAGAAAGCACAGAAGAGTTGAAAGGAGATAATAAAAAACTACTCCACTTTTCTGACAATTAAGCAAGCTTTGATGTTTTTTATTCTATATTCTTTAATAGCTATTTGTCCGATTTTGGTATATATATATATATATATATATATATATATATATATGCATAGCATCTGCCAGTTTGTAAACTTTTTTTCTTCTTTTCTGACGAGTAAAAAATGTATATACAGGATAGTCTTTATAGAACACTAGGCATTAGATTTCTATGCATTCTATGTTTTCATATTTGAATTTAAGATAGACAATAATTGTACGTACAATTATTCATTTATTTATCTACTCGTTTATTTATTTACTCTCCTATTCATTTATTTATTTATTCACTGACAAAGAGAGGTGTTTATCTACGATTATGTCAGATCTAAAAACCATCAAGGTGAAAATTAAATTTTAATATAATTTTGTTTGAAAACATTTTTAAAGGAAAGAAAAATTTTAGACTACAATTTACTCGATAAACTTTCCGTCTTTATTTGGGATTACTGATTTTTTGAACAAATTGATTTTATACTAAATATCAAATCAGTCTTTCTTATCTTTAACTGTAAATTTGTCTTTTAAGCAAATCAAAAGGTAAAGATTGAATTTATAGAAATGTATCAATATTTCTTGAATATTGGATCTGAAATTTTTCTTAACTAATGTACAATTTCTTTTCTTTTTTTTCTAATAATTTCTTCCTTTTACTTCGTTTAAGTATTCAATGAAATAAGTTTATTGGGAGCAAGAATTATTAGTTGATATCATACCAAGCATATGAATTAAGTGAACTGAAACTTTTAAATATCTTAAGAAATTATTATAACTCATTTTGTGTGACGCATACTTATTTTATTTTGTTGTTTCATAGTATGTAATTTTGGATATGGCTGGGAATATGGATCTTTAACAGCAACAACGCAGTACAAATCATTTGTAAATGAGCATGTCAAAGCAAATATAGGACTAAAAATAGGCTTACGTGGGATTAATGTCACTTTAAGAGGTATAGTGTTTTTCATGCATAATTGTAACAGTAAGTAGATGTAAGGTATGTAAACAAAACACATTTCATTTTTTGAAACTAATGATTCATTTATATTATCTAGTAGATCTTTTGCTTCAATTTCTTTGGATTATTTAGTTTAGATTGTTGTTCGAAATAAAATAATATTGTACTTCATTTAAGAGCTTTAACAATGTGATTTCTTTTTTAATTTTCTATTCTTCTCTAATAAGATAATTACTATGGTGAATATTTTGTAATGGGAGAATTTTGGACAGTTGGTGTAGATGACTAATTGTAGTAGATAGATTTTTATTGATTATGACAGGAATAAAAAAAATAAATAATGGCCATGTCTGATTAATGGCCAAGATGTCTGATTGAAGCAGATGATGAAAACAGGATAATAAACATAACAAAAATTTATTTCGATGGCAAAATAGAAAGAATATTCTATTTTACGCCTCAAGGATATTGTTATCCAAGTGACATTTCAAGTAAATTCATAATTTTTGCATAAAAATTATAATAGGGACAGGCCGTGGTAGATAAACCCTTCATGACTTGCTTGATCTAAAGTCAATTCATAAGTAGTATTTAATAATGCTTTGTAGTACAAAAGCGAGATCCATAATAGGCGTATTATCAAAAAAGGACACTGCTAAAAGAAAAGCCAATTAAGCCAATTCCGCGATATCTCATCTTAATATATTTAAATAATTTGGCAGAAGATTTAAAGACAAAAAGTGAGTTGGAAATTAAAATGTATCGAAATCTATTTTTGACTTTATTTTTCTTTAAGCTACTTTATTTTTCTATCCACGGAAATTTTTCGGTTACAGGACTATATTAAATTCTAACAGTCTTTTTTGGTGATTCAGTTGTAGCCAGGTTATTTAATATTAATAATGTGGAGTTGGCTCTATTTTAGGCGATATTATCACCGAAAACTCGCCAAATTTTGGAACTCTTCCCAAGCTCCTAATTGTCCGTTATTAGAGAACACCGATTATCCGAACTCTGATTTACTTGATTTTCCGGGTAGTTCAAGGATCATGTGCTTTCCCAACCTTCTTCTTCTTAAGAAAAAATAAATAAATAAATAAAATTAAAAAAATCAAGAAAGTGATTCTTTATTTTTAGAATAACTGAATGGGGCTCGAAAAATTGCTCCTTTTGTCCCTTTGTGATCTTGAAAAGAAACTCGCTTTCTTCCGCTCTGTTTTAATGCGAGTGCTAAGTAATTTCTAATAAAGAAACAGGTTTCCAATAAAATTTTAAAAATTATTTTTTTAACCACTATGCTAGATTAGGAGCTACTACAATTATTAATCCTAAGCCTGGAAAAAGTGTTAAGGGAAGTAACTTAAAAACCTTCCTTTTTTTAAAGTTGTTCAATTATCCGTATTTTCCTTTATCTGGATCGGCTTTGGTCTCTATTGGCTCGAATAATCGGTGCCTTACTCTATTCATATACTGCTGATTTGAATTTCTTGGCCTTAGGACTGGAAAGGGGGTTTGGATGTCCGATGGCCGGCCCATCAGTTTGACATTTGAAAGTATCACAAAATTGTTATATAAAAAGCGTTTCTTAAAAAAGACTGTCTTCGTCTTTGTACAACGAATGGCTTAATATTTTATTTTGTTGATAAAATATGATTTTTAATTTTAAGTATGGCCATATTTGTTTCATTATTAAAATGCTCCCTAAAAAAAGATGATTTTCCTTGTTTAATCCTTTTATTAGCAGTATCCTGTGTTGTGGTATAATGACAATGCACGAAAGAAATTTTCATTATAACAATCTGCCACGATAAAAATTTGAAAATTGAATATTTTTCTTTCAAAAACTTCCTGTTTCCAATAAGGTGATATATTAGGTATTCTTCATCTCTTCCTTAGGAATTTTTTGGTTTATTTATGTTTTATGTAATATCTTTACATTGCGTTTTGAGTTTGATTACCTTTGTCGTAGTAAATGACAAAATAATTTAAGCATTAACTTCATACAAATGATTGGTCATGTTCTACGTCAACCTGAAAAGATTAAAGTAAAACAAATTTTTTATTGGAACCCTCAGGGCAATAGAAAAAGAGGAAGACCTAAAAATACTTGGCGCAGTACGATTGTAACTGAATTGAAAACGATATCAAAATATGAAGAGAGGCAAAATATCAGACCACAAATAGAGTGAGTCTCCAATTCGAAGTGAAGAGGAATATGTATGTATGTTCATATAAATGGTTCGTAATTACTATTAATAAATATATTTTTAGAATCCTTGTTGGAAATGAAGTCAAAAAAGTTCAGATTAGTTTTAATTTATTTTTTCAAATTAAAAATTAATATCGACTAGTTGAAGTAAATACATATCTGCCATGCTGCTAGCAATTTTATTTTTTAAATTTTATCAGTAGCAATGAATTTGGAAATTTTTTTAATTAAATAACTTTTTAACGCCAACTGTAAAATGTGCTACTGCATATTAAATATCTAAGAATAGCAATTCTCATAATTTATAGTTTGTTTGTGCAGTTTTTATTTGCACTCTTGCGTTCTTTTGATCTAATCAGACCTATAACAAGATGGGAGTCTTGAAGAAAAAGGTGAATAAACATTAATTAATCTTTCGTATTGTCCTTGTATATTTCTGACACATCTGGATTTGTTGGACTTATTTTCTTGGAGTTATAATAATATTATTGTGGTACTATGTTTATATGTTGTTATGCTTATAATTTAAAAGATTATCTTTATTCTTTTACACTAATTAAAAAAAAAGAACTTTTTTCGAATGCATTACATTTTATAACTAGACAAATTTTTAGCTAAATATTTAATAGTTTTATACAGGTTAGCACAGAAGAAAGGGAACTTTTGCAGTAATGCAATTTATACAAATAAATACAGGAAAAAAAAATTCTTGACAAAAGTACATGTCTACAGTATGTCATTTATGTTTTCGAAACAAACTGTCACAAACTTATTTTATGTATTTTCTGCCGGTAATATTTGTAAAGAGGGTGTGTAAAAAGTAAAGAAACAATCTGTGACATTTCGTTGTGAAAACATAAATGGCATGTTACTTACCTGCACTTTCGTGAGTAAACAAATGTTTTTTCTGACACTATTTATGCAAATTACGTTACTTCAATATTTTCAGTTTCCCTGTACCATTAATTGAAAAGTCTAATTTTCGATAATTCCAAAAATTTACAGACTTATTTATTATAAGTTTTGATCTTAATCATTATCCATACGCTATAGCCCTTGCAGAGCCCTGATCTCATTTAAAACTTTGGACCACTCTTTTCTGTTGGTAGCTTTATCTTGCAATTGGCAATTTTAAATAATTTCAAGTTCTTTCCATCTAGTTCTGGGACTTCCCCTAGATCTCGACGCTCCTGGCTTTCCATCATTCTTCCTGTTACGAAACCTTTACAAGAAATAAGCTTTTATAAGTTTCTCAAACTTATCATAATCATATACACTCTATAACAAAAAAATCGACGCACCAAGAAGGAGTTGTCCGATTTAAACGAAAATTGGTGGATAGGTAGACAATGTACAGAATAGTAAATGATTAAAATTTCAGAACAATTGAATAATTTATTGCAGAGTTACTGTAACAAGTTCAATAAGGTGTTGACCCGCATCTAGCCTGGATACAAGCTGCCACACAGCGTGACACAAGCTCCCAGATGGTCTCTTGCGGTATTTTCTGCCAAATTCGATCCAATTGTTGAACGAGGTCATCAACATTCCGTGCCAGATGCAATCGCCTTCCCATCATATCCCAGACATGCTCGATGGGAGAGAGATCTGGTGATCTGGCAGGTCAAGGAAGAGTTTGACAAGCTTGCAGACAGTTCATAGCAACACGTGCCGTACGTGGCCTGGCATTGCCTGCTGAAAAACCAGCCCAGGGCGCTGTAAGGAACGGTAGCAAAACAGGTCTTAGGATGTCGTTGACGTACCGCTGTGCAGTAAGTGTACCTCTAATGATGACCAAAGGGGTCCGGCTGTCAAAGGAAATGGCACCCCAGACCATAATGCCTTGTTGAGGGCCGGTGAGGCGTGCAATAGTGAAAGCAGGATCCCCCCTCTGCGTCTCCAAACACGTCTTCGATGATCGTCAGGACACAGTTGGAA